CTCCAGCTGGCTTGTAGCACAAACCAGGCAGAATTTAATGAAAGTATCATTTGCTGAACCGATGAACATTTACTGAATGCCCACTCTGGGACACAGATTTTACACGCCTCACATCCCGAAGACGGGAGTGTCACTACAATTTTCATTTCACAGATGAGGAAACCGAGGTCGAGAATTTTAATACTCAAGACGACATAGCTAGTCATGGGTAGAGCTGGGATTTGACCCCAGAGAACTCCAAAACTCTTCCTCTTTTATACCGTAGTCCCTCATCCACATCCTACTCTGAGCAAATAGGAGAGAATTTCAAATTTATGACCTAGTCTTAAGATAAGGGAGACAATGATACAGTCAGGAAAGAAAATGCAGGAAAAGTGTGCCATGATAAGAGGATATGTATGTGGAAGAAACAGCCAAAAATGTCCCTGGCAAGAGGAAAGACTTTTCTAAAATCAACTTTGTTGAGGTATAATTTCCATATACTAAAACACACCCATTTTAAGTGTGCAGTGTTCTGAGTTTTGACACATGTATGTTCTCACGTTACCACCATTACAATAATAACATAGAGCGTTTCCATAAACCCCAAAGTTCCCCATGCCCCGCCCTTCCCCATGAATCACCCTCCCTCATGGCTTCAGGGAAGTACTATCTTTTCGCTGTTACCATAGATTATGTGTGTTTTTTCCAAAGTGTCACGTAAGTGGAATCATAAAGTATAAACTTTGGCACTTTTTGCTTATTTCTCAGCATAGTGTTTTTGAGGCCCAGCCATGGGATTGTATCCATCAGTAGTTTGTTCCTTTTTAATATTGAGAAATACTGCTCAATATTGAATATGGATATGCTGTAATTTACTCATTTGCTCGTGCTATTTCAGTCCGGGGCTATTAGGAAGCGGCTGCTGTGAACATTCATGTCTTTGTGTGGACACGTGTCTCTCTGCCCCTTGGACGGATGCTCAAGGCTGGAATTGCTAAGTCTGCACAGTAAATGCATCTCACCTTCTAGGAGCTTCCAAGTGGATCCAGACAGGTCTCCCTGAGGTGTGTCGCTTTGGCATGTGAATGATTTCAAGCCGAAGACAATTGAGACCCTTTGAGCTCACAAGAAACTTTGACATCTCCATTAAAGAATGTAAATTAGGGGCCTTGCCCAGAGTAAGAATTGTTAGCAGAGATAACTGTGTTTGACCTATAAACAGGGCAGGGCAAGCATCTAATCACCAAGCACCTGCTATTCTTATCGTCCTGCAAAGGACCTTCCTTACCTCTAACGTCATCCTCAGCTCCACATGCCATACCTGCTTCATTTTACCTTCTGTCTCCAAACTTCTTACATATGTGGGTCTCTGACTCTCTCGTACGTGGGGTTCCCATACGTGAGTATGTAATTATGTTCGGTTATTTTCTCTTGTTGATCTGATCTGTTTTACGTCGATTCAGTTATTACACCAGCTGAAAGAAGGTGGAGGAAAGTTTCTTCCTCCCCAGCCCTGCCGCGTTTTTTAGAAAGTTATTTGTTGTTTTATGTTTCCATCAGCAACATGTGGAAAAGCAGTCCCATTTGGTATTGTCAGGGAGAGGAAGTATTTAACGTATCAATTTAGAAACACCAGTTTCTTTGAAGCCATTGCACAGGAAAGGAATGGACGGAGGATGGGATTCTGTGGCTCTTCTGTTTCTTCATTTGCGTAGCTGATGCCCAATAAAATTTCGAGGCCACCACACTTACCAACAAGTTTGGTATTTAGCTTGTCATTGCTGTCAGCTCCTCTTGTCCCAACCCCTTTCAAATGAAGCCACCAGGGCTGCTCAGCTCGGTGCTGAGCTCCGTTCAGTTCTGCCCCCCCGTTAAGACAGAAGACGTGGGAGCCGAGAGACGTGGGTCTTCGATTCCCGAGGGGACAAGGTGAGCTCTGAAAGTCTCCGAGTAGAAAACAGCCATGGTCTCTTGAAACATCTCTCTCCTCCATTCTCCCTGCTGGGACAGCGACTAGGTGGCTGTGGAACCTTCCCCTTTATCCCCTGGCCCTTAGTGGGACTCTGCCTCTGTCTGTCATGCCTCCCGCTGTTCGCCTCTCAGTGCTGTGTTCTCCCGGGCGGGGCAGCCGTCTTGTTCTCCACTTGCCTCCACCAGTCTGTCCACCTGCTCTTTGACCCACTTGTGGAGTTATTTAAATCAGCGAATACATTTATCCTTTCTAGGAGTTTTATTTTGTGCCTGTGTTTCCCTCCATTTTCATATTTAGGGCTTTAAATTTTTTAAAATTATTTTAAATGGTATGGTATAGTCTAAACAAATCATCCTACTATCTCAAGTTCTTGGAGGTTTACTTTGCTTCCAGTTACTGCTCCCGACTCTGGCTCAGGTGGGCCGTCCCTCCGGGCGCTGGGCAGTGTCGTTTTTGAAGCTGGGCGGGGACTCTGTGCGGCCGGCGCAGAAGGTGTGTCTCTCCAGAGCCGAGGTCCCCCTCTTTTCTGCACCTTAGAATCTCCTAGTGGCCTTTTAACAGTCAGGATGGCATGTCGGACTCCAGATCAGTTCAGATACTGCAGGTGTGAGACGGAGACGTGAGTGTTTTTAAAGTTCCAAAGTCCAGGGCGAGACCACTGCTCTGGAGAGGACTTGACTGCTCTGGAAACTTTCACAGGCACTAGGGGTGTGTTTCCAGCCCTGGATCATTTAATATCAGTCTCTCAGCTCTGGGTCCCTGAACCGCACACATAGCACAGTATTTTTGACAGTAAAGAGCAAAACCACGAAAGTCCTAGAGGAGAACACAGGCAGGAAAATCTCAGATATTCCACCCAGCGACATCTCCACTGATATGTCCCCTAGAGCAAGGGGTGTAAAACAGCATTTTTAATAGAGAGTATCAACCAAGGCAATTTGATTCTTTTTGTTTGTTTTTTTGGTTTTTTACAACTTTGTTGAGGAATCATTGACATATATTTGTATATATTAAAGTATACTTAAAGTATGTGATGGTTTTATAACACACATTGTGGACTTATTACCAGATCAAGTTATTTCACACATACTCACCTTGCACAGTTAACTCATTTTTCGCATGTGGCGAGAAGGCTTAAGATCCACTCTGAGCAGCGTCACGTCTGCAGCGAGTACACAACACTGTGCGGTCGCCCGCAGTGACGGCTGCACGTTAGGCCCTTGGAAGGTACAGGTCTGTGCCCTGGGACCAGCATCTTCCCACCTCCCTGCCCCCCACCTGTGGTAACCAGCACTTCATTTCGTTTCTATGCAATCAGCTTCCCCCTTTTTATTCACATATAAGTAATACCGTGCAATATTTGTCTTTCTCTGCCTTATTTTACTTAGCATATTGCCCTGCAGGTTCACCCATATTGTTGCAAATGGGAGGGTTTCCTTGTTTGTTATGGCTGAATAGTATCCCATCGCATATATACAGCGTATTTTCTGTATGCCTTCGCCTGCCAGTGGACACTCAGGCTGTTTCTGCATCCTGACTGTTGTGCTGCAGTTGAGAAGGCGGGGTGGGCATGGCTTTGAGACCCTGATCTCAGCCCCCCCGGGGTGAGCACGGAGGGCTGTGTTGTTTTAACTGAGCAAACCCGAGGCCTCCTCACCGACTCCCACGTGGTCGGGAACAGCCCCTCCCTGCTTACCGGTCTCAGCATGCGCTCTCTGGACGGCCCATCAGTGTCAGTGGGTCACATCCGTGTTTATGTTCTTCCCTTGTTTTGGTTTTGGAATTTCCCTTGCTGCCCTGTGAATCAGCTGTCCATTTAGAATCTTTGTGACATTTGTCCAAGAATCCCAGGTTTTTCCATGTACGTAGATCCCAGTATTGCTGAAAGAAGGGAAGTCTTGCTGAGACTGTAGGTCTGTGTCTTCACGGCCCTGCCCTGCGCTTGAGCTCATCCGCCTGTTCCCAGCCGGAACCGCGTGTGAGCTTTGCTGTGTCTCCGGACGCGGTGCACCGGGTTTGCGGGCGTCCGCCTGGAAGACGGGCCTCTGGACTTGCGTGCGTTTCCCGGGGCTGTGCCAGGCCCGGCCGTGGCTTCGCCGGGCTGCAGCGGGTCCATGTCCCAGCATGCTTTGCATTCCAGCCTACCTGAGTTATGTCAGTTTCTGGTCTTTTCCTTCCGTTTCCAAGTCTCTGTCTTTTGAACTTAAGTTGCCAAGCTTAAGTCTGGTTTCAGTTTATTTTCTGGATTCATCTTTCCACAAAGGACTCTATCCCAGATTTGAGAGTTTCTAGTGTGGTTTATAACAGTGTGGGAATAGGTCCAACTCAAGATTCAGATGTCTAAGATGCCCAGATGGCTTTAGGGAAGAGCTTCTAACTTTCCACTCCATTTGAAACAACACTAAACTTACAGAGTATGTAAATTCAAAAGATTTTCTACTATATGTTGATAACTATGTACCTGTAGTATTAATCGAGGACTAACACTGAATTACTGAACTTGTCAGAAGGAGTTTACAGCTGAGAATACCCTCTGACTTAACCTCACTTGCTTAATTCATGAGTAGCCACCCCTGCGTTCTGAGTACAGCCAGCAGTGGCTGGACCGCGGCTGGTCCACTCCGTGCACTATTCTACTCCCAGACCTTGTGAGGTCACCGAGTTTGGTGAACAGCACTCAGAGAACTCTCATTGGTAGTGGACAGCGCGTTTACCCTGGTCTGGACTTTCTTATTTCTTTGACAAAGCCCCGCCGAGATCATCACTGAAACCTGAGTCTCGCGGCAGCCCCTACCCCCCTGCCAGTGGTGCTGGCGTTTGATTATGAACACGGCTCTAAACGTTGACCGAGCTCTCTGGCGGCAAGAGAAAACCGCGTGCTGGTCATGAGCCGACAGACATTGCGGGCTGGACGGCTGGCCAGCACTCCAGCGACATCCTTCATCTTAATCAGTCGCACCCTTTGGGGCTCAGGTTAGGGTCCTTTCGACCATTTTACCCTTATTTGGATTTCTCCTCCTACTTTCTCTCTTCGTTTTCTTGGCAGTATCTTCTAGCAAAATCAGGAGGGGCTTCCAGAAGTTGCCTTTGAAGATGGTTGCAGTGCGTACGCCTGTCAAAGAGGACTGAGCACACCCTGTGGAAAGCTGTCTTGCATTTCAAGTCCTGAGGGGGTCTCACCTCTCCTGTTGTGGTCCGATCGTCCAGGGTCAGCTGAAGGGGAACCGTCAGAGCCAGTCAGAGAGGCCGCGGTGAGTTTCAGATGCCTTTTCTTCTTTCTCTCATGCAGGGCACTCAGGAATCTTGTACTCTGGATGAACCCCGTTTACATTCTTGTTGGGACTGGGAAAGTAGGATTTTAGACTTTATTTTGAAGGCAAAACTCTCTAATTTACTTAGGAACACAGTCTATTTTTTAAAAATGTTCTTTTCTCTGTCTTGTTCTCTTCTTTCTTTTCTTCTCTCCATACCTCCTTCCTTCACTTTTCTCATACCCCCTTTCTCTTTTCTCCCTCCCCTCCCCTGCGCTCCCCTCCCCTGCGCTCCCCTCCCTCCTCCCCTCCCCTCCCTGTCTTTCCTTTTCCTTTTCCTTTCCTTCATTCCTCTTTTCCTTCCTTTCTTCCAGCCTTTCTTCTTTCCTTATATCTTGGTCACTTTGCACATACCTAAATATTTTGGAAAATAGACATTGTTGAAGGCAAGGTATTATTTCTATTATAACAATTTGGCAGGGGGTGGTGGGGGGGGTGGGCTGGGGTGGGAGTAAAAGACAGAAAACTATACTTGAACAACAATTAAAATAAAAAAAATTGGTTAGAATGATGACACTCCAGGTTTGGAAAGAAAACATCATGTTCTGCTGCTTCAGCCAGGTAATGAGTCCCCGAGTCCCTCCCACTCTGTCCACAGCGTATGATGGGGCACCTGCATCCCCAAAGCGATGGAACAGACTAACCCCCTTTGTCCCGAAGCAGCCGTTACACCTTTGAACAGCGCTGGCGGTTACTCAGTGGCTGGTTATGAGTTGAAATACAGTTTTCTGTAACATCCATCCATCCACTGCTCTTTAGTTTCTGTCCTTGTGGCCAAATAGAGTGGCGTTTTCAAATTTTAAGTTGAAATACAAGGTTGTGAAATAATTTTAGTTGGATACGACCAGCATTAAAGGAGAAGAAGGAGGAGGAGGAAGAGGAGCAGGCAAAGGTGAGGGAGAAGCCGAGTGGAATGAGAGTGGAATCGAAAATATCAGAGTGCATCACAAATAGTGAAGTTTTCATAAAACCTTTATCTTGATTGTGTAATTATTTAATGAACTACATATGTCAGCTAGATCACAATGGTTCAAAAAAAAAAAGGTTTGAGAGCCGCTGAATAAAGTGTGCCTGACTTTTCTTCCATGTGGCCATCCACGCGGTTGAGCCGATCTCACGTCCTGCCTCGTCCTCACTTCCCCAGCTAAACATTTCCTTCCACCCTCCGGTGTGTCCCGGCCTCACACCTCCTTGCCATCCTCAGCACACTCCAGCATAAGCAGTTTGTGTGAAAGCACGGACCTCAAATCCAAACAATGTCCCGAGCTGTGCCCCGACCGAAACAGAGGCACGCAGGGCGACCCTTCTCTGGGTTAGCAGAGCGCGACTCAGTGCCTGTCCCTGTAGCCCAAGCTGCGCCCCAGTGGTGAAGGCGCAGGCCCCGGGGCCACTGGCCTTGGCGTCTGTCTGTTCAGCTGGTGTAAGTCTGAGTGACTAGTGACCTTGGGCAGTTACGTGGCCGCTCTGTGCCTCTGTTTCTTCATCTGCACATAGGATAATAGTACTTCTGAACATTTTCATGAGTATTAAATGACTTGATATATGTAAAGGACTTTGAACAGTGCCAGGCAAATAGTATACACTTAGTGGGCCAGTGTATTTTTAAGCAATGACAGCAAATTGCTGATCCACCTCACTTTTTATCAACTTAAATTTATCTCGGCTTCTGGTGTATGGAACAGTGGGATTGTGAGTCCCAGTCTGCGGCCCCCGTTTGCGCCTGGTGTCCTGACCTAAGTAACAGTGGCCCCGGTTCGCTGTCACACGTGGCCCCGACGTGTACGAATCTTCTAAACTGTGTTTTTGTAGTAAAAATTAGCATTTTCACCAGTTACGTACCACCCTGCCTGATAGCCACATCTTCTCTCACTAAGTACTCGATCAGTACTGCACTTCCGTAGAAGACCTGACTTTTCCGTTTTCTATGGAAGCTTCGCCTCAGTTCTCCCACCCGCTCCCCTCGACAGGGGGCAGAACCAAGGTGAAAAGTGGAGGGCTCGTCCCTCTGGGCCCGATGACCGGGGTTGAAACTGGCCCATCATTCTATTCTGCGAAGAACTTTTGGATTGTGATTAAGTTATGCAGGGCCTTTATTAACCCTCCAAATGTCATATTATTTATATCTTTAATTTGTTTGATGAATTTAATGAACTTTCACAGGAACCCGGGTCCTGTTCCAGGGGCCAGGAATGGAGCAGGGGACCAGCGGACAAGTCCCTTTTCCAGGGAACTGACACCCTGTAGAGGTCACGGTGTGTCCTAGTCCCTGTAAACTGGGCTCATCGGAGTAGGATTTACATAAACCCTGACGCTGGTTACTAGTACTTCCTTCTGGATTAAAAACATTCATTCATCTACAGGTAGCATCGGGCAGTCATTTTACAGAAAAGGAGTCTGTATTGTCCACCGACTTTTCTTCTTGTCCAAAGTAGAACACAAACCTACTGTCACAGGACTTTCTCTTGCTCGCCCGTGTCTGTCATGCTTCCCACACTTGGTCCGCCATGAGAGAAGGAAGTGGTGTTTTCTGGACTAATTCGCCCTCAGTGGTGGCCCACTAGCATTCTGGAACGGCCACACGTTTTAATAGTCTGTTCCAGAAGGTCCTTGTGGCGCAGTGGTTTGCAGAACTTGCACTCTGGGTCGTTCCGAACACTGGGACTTCCCTTCTTTTTGCCAGTTCCTTCTCTCCTTCACTGCGGGTCCTTAAAGGCCTCCCATTGGCTCCATGGTCTCGTTTGCAAAGTTCTTCCTGGAAACTCCTAGACTACAGTTGGGCCAGGCCCGGAGATGTAAGCTTTTTCAGGGAAGCTAGATGCTGTCCTAAAATCTTACTCATCTTTGGCTTCATACTCCTCTTCTGAATTATATTAAGGGAATCCCATACCGAAACTTGGACACTGTAGCAGTTGCTATTTATTAAGCCCTTATTATGTGCAAAGCATGTCCATAAGCATTCACACATGTCTGTCTGAGTCATGTCACATCACCGTGACAGGCGTTATCTGTGTGGGCCGCGAGGGGAGCGTGATCACACAAAGCGGTGAGGTACAGCGTGGGGACCCGAACCCCACCTGTGAGGTCAGGAAGACTGCAGAATGGGGCTGTCCCAGGACTTGGATTTGGACAGAGGTTCTTGATGAAACAGCCTTCTAAAAGGACAGGCTTCCTTCTAATGTGATACAACCACGTTTGCATTTGTGATTTATGATTTTGTGATGACTCATAATTTTATTTGAAATATTTCACTGCCATAAAGATGAAGCTATTAAAGCAGAAGTAGACGGGGTAGGACTTTGGGGGAAAAGGAATAACAATTTGAGAAGAATGGTCCAGTTTGTTTCTTGGGAAGCATGCACAATGCTGGTTTGCTTTTCTTCATAAATAGTAGTAAAGAGTGTGTGCAGCTGTGTGTGACCTCCTAGGCAGCGAGGCACAGGTTGCTTGCTGTGGACAAAAGACCAAGGTTTCTTCTTTTGAATTATTTTCTTACTCCCCATAGATTCATATTTTTCCCTGCCATGGTATCATGATCAGTGAATTTCATTTTCAATGGTTTATATCAAGCCTACCTCCAATAAGGACTTGAGGTGATATCATTGTCTGTTGACTCGTTGGCAACATTAAAATATTATTTCTGTATAACTAGACAGCAGGTCCTATGAGACAGGGACCTGTGTGTCTTCCGTCCATCTGTCGCATTGGCAGCTCTGCGTGCCATTCAGGGCTCGGGCCCACGTTCTGGAGTTCAGGTGTGGACTGGTGAATGGCAATCTCCACGCTCGATTGAAGAGATTTTCTGTGTCGCTTATTTTCCTTTAATTGTTGGTGAGTTGAGAAGCTGCTTTGAATCTCTTTTCAAAAGAGCAAGGTTCTTTAAAAAGAACACGTTGTGATGTGTGAACAGGCCCGGTTATTTCCTAAGACTTTCGATTTTGGAAATGTTTTTTTAGCTTGGTGAAGACCCAGTCCTGACACTGGCTGTTCACCTGAACCTGGGGAGGAGTAGAGGGGAGCATTTGCAGGGGTGAGGCCAGAGGCCTCGCTGTCCCAGGTAGTCACAGAAACTGCTGGGGCGGGACCCTCGCCAAATTGACACTTGTAGTTTGGAGGTGGGAAGACCAGGAGGCTTCAGTCCACGGCAGACAGAAGAACCTTTGTGTATCCAGGTCCTCAGCACATTGCAGGGATGAAAGGCTAAACCCGTCCTTTGCTCCTGGCCCCTCTGCCCTTATTTTTATTTTTCCCTTATTCTTATTTTTCCCTCAAAAATATGGGCAAAAAAGTGCACATTCTACATGGCAAAATGTGGTAATAATTTTGGTCCCATCCCACTTACTGTATGATAGTACAGTAATTTTGTGATCATTAATATATCTATTACTTAAAAGAAGTTCTTGCCCTGACTGGTGTGGCTCAGTTGGTTGGGCATCAACCTGAATAGCAGAAGGTCGCAGGTTCAATTCCCTGTTGGGGCACATGCCTGAGTTGCAGGTGTGGTCCCCAGTCGGGATGTGGACCAGAGGCAGCTGACTGATGTTTCTCTATCACTTCAATATTTCCCTCCCTCTCTTTCTCCCTCCCTTCTCCTCTCCCTAAAAATGGAAAAATAAAAAGCTTAAAAAATTTTTTTCCTTCAGAAAGTGTAAATCAGAAGAAAAAGTCTACCTACTCATTAGTTTTAAGCTTATAATAGGTAAATGTATGGGATGTTTGGAATTTCTAAGATAATTATATTTTCAAGCCACAGTATATGTATGAATATTCATTTGATTATATTTTTAAAGATTTTATTTACCTTATTTTTTTTTTTAGAGAGGGGAAGAGAGAGGGAGAGAAACATCAATGTGTGGTTGCCTCTTGTGCGCCCCCCACTGGGAACCTGACCGGCGACCCAGGCATGTGCCCTGACTGGGAATCGAACCGGCGACCCTTTGATT